TCCTGGGAGAGAGAAACAGCTTGACAGCTAAAGTTCCATGTTTAAGAATTTACTAAGCAAATAGAAGGCACTAGTTAGTGCAAAAAAGAGCAGCACAGAGCAGCCACCCTTTCTCCTGGCTCTGAAAGGCCTTTCCAGCAGGGAGTCAGAGCACCCCATTCTTTGAAGTGGGGTCTGAGAAAAGCAGGTTGCATTTGATCTTGTCACCACACTGCAGGCAGGAGACTTGGGCTATGCTTTGATGTGGGAGGTCCTTCTGACTATGTGTTGTTTTCATTGGTTAATGAATAAAGAAGCTAGCTTGGCCTGTGTGATATGGGCAGAGTAGAGCTAGGCAGGGAAAACTAAAGTGAATGCTGGGAGAAACAAGGCAGAGTCAGAGAAGCCACATAGCCCCTCTGGAGACAGATGCCAGAACTTTACCCAGTAACCTACAATCATGTGGTGATACACAGATTAATGGAGATGGGTTAGTTTAGGATATAAGAGTCAGCCAGAAATATACTTAAGCTATTGGCCAAACAGTATTGTAAATGATATAGTTTCTGTGTGGTTATTTCAGGAGTCTGGGCAGCCCGAGACGAACAAACAGCTTCCAACTACAATGCTTCAATCAGATGGTCACCACAGGGTGCCTAGTTAAACCTACCTGCTGTGCAATGATGTCACAGGCTGCACACTTATACTAAAAACATGTTCTTTGTATATTGCTAAGAATGACGGGGGCTGCTTAGATGGCTCCGTGGCTAAGGTGTTTCCTGAACCAACATGAGGACCCGAGTTTGGACCTTAGCACCCGTGTGAAAGCTGAATGTAAGAGCACAGGTCCGAAATCCGAGAAATCCGAGTACTGGGGCAGCAAAGACAGGGGAATCCAGGGAGTCTACTGGCGAGCCAGGCTAGCAGGATCAGTGAGCTCCTGGATCAATGAGAAACCCTGTTTCTCTCATATGACAAAGTACCTGAGGAAGACACTCAATGCCCACCTTCAGGTGTGTATTGTGTGCCCCCATACAAATTCATACATGTATGAACATACATATAGCATATTCCCACACAAAATGGTTCTCTGTTTATCTGAAATTCAAACTCAATTGGTAAATCTGATTGATTTTGGGGGTTTGGAACAGGGAACAATTTGACTGCATGACACTGACCCCCATCCCACATTCTTACACGACACCGTTTCGACCTTCAACTGTCCAATAAAATCACCAAGTCACCAGCTAGCTACAAGACCACTGCTCATCAAAGTTCACCTCAGTCAAGGTTTTGTTCATAAAGAAAGTTATCACCAAGTTGTAAATGACAAACCCTCTGCACTGTGTGTGTGTGCGTGCATGTGTGTGTGTGGTGTCGTGTATGTGTTGTGTACATGTGGATGTGGATGCCTGTACCCATGTGCATATATGTAGAAACCAGAAGAAGATCCTGGGTTTCTCCCTCGAGCACTCTCCAGCTTCTCACCTCGGGACAGCCTGGGTGGATAGGCATGCATGGCCCTGTCTGATTTTCATGTGAGTACTTGGGATTCCAACTTAGTTCTTCATGTTGGCACCACTAGCCACCTCCCCAGGCACATCAGTGTGGTCTCGGTTCACTCTTCTTAAATTTATAACTATACTTGTCACTCAAATGGACTTCAACTTTGGACTTTAAGGTTAGTAAGAAAAGGGAAACTTGACTACTGACTGAGAAAACTTCAGCCCATGGAAGCACAATGATTTAACTATTAGCAAGGACTGGACGAGCCCAGGAATATTTGTGTCATGTTCTTAATTCTGAGAGCTAAATGGACGGTACAAGAAAAAAAAAAGTCACTTAACTCCTAAGACCTCAAAAGCACAGAAAACAAAAACAAGAGATTACCATCAAAACTGGAAAGCTTCTGTCGAATAAAACAACCAACTAACAGATTTAAGAAACAACCCACAGAATGGGAGGATGCATTTGAGATACATTTGATAATAGCCAAAACCTGTAAGAAATTTGCATAATGCATGAGTTTTTTTTTAAAAAAAAAAAAAGCAAGGCAAGCAAACAAAAACCCAAATAAGCAAAAGCCCTGAGTAGGGATTTCTTAGAAGAAGATGAATTATGGCCAACGTGCTTATGAGGAAATAACCAATGTCACTAATCATGGGAGATGCAAATCAAGCTCTCCAAGAGATAGATTCTATCACTCTAGTTACAAGGACTGCTGCTAAAAAGAGATAACACAGCACGAACACATATCTATCCTGGAGACTGAACACGTGGTCCCGCATTGCCTGGCATTCTACCGCTGAGCTACACACCCTGTTTAGAAAGAGAACTTCCTTTTTACTGTGGGTGATAATGTAAAATGTTATGCCATTATGAAAACAATAAGGAGATGCATTAAGATTTATTTAAGTAGAAGGACCATATGTGATCCGGCCATCCCAGTACTGGACATCTATCCAAAGGGAATGAGACCCATTCTGAAGAGACTCGTGTGATCTGTTAGTGTCTTAACAACTCTACGTACCGGCTCCCAAATAGAAACTCCCTGACAGTCCAACAACAGGTGGAAAAGGACACTGTGGTGGACATGCAAAATGGATACAATGGAATGCTATTCAGTGAGAGAAAAGGATGACTAATCCTAACACTGAGGAGGCTGAGACAATATTTTCGTGGCACAGATGCCAGTCTGGGCTAGAGAGAGAGAGAGAGAAAGAGAGAGAGAGAGAGAGAGAGAGAGAGAGAGACGCTATCTGAAAGAGTCAGGAAGGATGGAGGGAAGAAAGGGAAGAAAGCAAGGAAGGAAAATGGGAAAGTTCACAGACAGGTGTGAAAATTCATAAAAGAAGTTGAAGTATAACCGTGGTTTCCCAAGACTAAGGATGAACCAGAGGTGGTGGAGACACTGGCTAAAGGGTACAGTACTGTGATAAAAGACAGGGGCAATGAATTCTGCCGTGTCTTCTAAATAACTGCAGAGACTCTTAATAATGGTGAATACTTCCAACTAGGAAGAAAGGATTTTCACTATTCTCATCTCGAAAAAAAAAAAAGAGCAAGTGCTTAAAGTAATAGCTGTACTAATCATTATAGGTTTTATATAATATATATGTGTGTGTGTGAGTGTGCACACATGTGCACATGTGTTGAAATATTAACATCGTAACTCATAAGTATGTACACTTCCTATATATATTGACCAAAAAGACAACCTAGCCCAAACCCCTCTAATGCATGAATGCCCTTCAGATGCATGGCAATGAAGGCCAACATTGCCATTCCCTGCCACAGGCAGAAGCATCCTCCTTATTCCAATGCTCCAACCCCCACACTCTTTTCACATTGCCTTATCGCCAAGTGAAACTGCAGCCGTGGGACTTTGGAATTGTCCTTCAAGCCATATTATCACTTTGGCCTTGTCTCATTCCTGGGGAAACAGTCTGGGCCTCCTTTATCATCTCCAACCTTCTGTGATGCTTTCACCACTGCCCCCCATGCAGTCCAGTAGCTCTCCACCCTTCTGAAGCTCACACCATACACAGGAGAGGCATGCGGTCCGTGTAGCTCTCCTCCCATACAATGCACACACCATACACAGGAGAGGGATGTGGTCTGTGTTTTGCTTTTGTAGTATGTTGTTGGGGCTGGAACCCAGAACTTCATGCATGCTGGGCAAGTGCCCTATCACTGAGCTACAAAGCAGATCTTTAGGAAGGAGCTAAACCGCAAAGAAAAGAAAATCCTGTGTATCGTACTGGTGTGTGCCTGTAATAGCAGGAGATCAAGAATCCTGAGTTTCAAGACTAGACTGAGCTTTAAAACAGAGGATACACAGTACAACTTCATATTAAAAAAGAAAAAAATGCAAACCAAAAATCCAAGGCCTAGGCCCCACCTCGAGCAACTGAATTAGAATTTGTCATGTAGTGCCACTTGGACATCAGGGCTCCGGGAGATCCTGTTATCCAGGTACGACTTCTCTGCCCTTCCTGCTTATTTATACAAGGTAGAACTCCTTAGATCAGCTTGATACTAAACAACCAATAAGCACCAACGTTTCCATTTTGCCTAACAAGGAGAGCCCAAATTTGCAGCCTCAAACACACCCTCCAGGCTTGCCCTGCCCTTCCGTGATGTCATGTTGCCCCTCAGTTGCTGCCCCTTTGCTGACACCTCTCTTGCCAAGGGGGATGGTCTCCTTCACCCACCATAGTGGTCAGATGGCTTCACCTTTGGAGGGCGGCATCTTTTCTGTTTAACCCTATAAATGGTTCCATTTTCCTGTTTTGGAGAGCCAGTTCCGATATTTTTCTCCTGTATCAGAAAGGACTTGACTTAGGGTTCCCAGTTCTCTACAGGACCCTGGGGCAAAGTGTACCTACTACCTAGTAGGCGCTCAACTGTTCTGGAACTCCTTTGCAAGAGGCTTATGAAGTTTGAGTTGGTAGCTTGAAAGCATGATGTCTACCCAGAAGGTTTTCGCTGTAGTTAAAAATCTAATAATCGTTCGCCCTGCTCCTGGAGCTCTGGTGAATAAAGAAGGAAATGATGTAAGATCAGTAGCTGTCTTTCTCAAGCGTCTTTGATCTCCAGCGCCAGGACTGGGCGCTGAAGTTTCCCCAACTATTATGCTGGGGAGGGATGGGTTCCGGCTGCGGAGAGCAGCACCAGTGACCTGGAATAAAGCTGTATAATTAGAGCGTCCATGCATGAGTAATGGTTTTGTTTTCAAATTAAAGCACCGAGTTTGCCCTTGGGAAATTTGCAAAGCTCTCGCTTGTCCGCCTAGGCAGAAGAACTTTGCCACAAGCAAAGCCTGGGAAACTTTTCACAAAGTGTCTAGGTTGTGATGGCCTTGGGCTGAGCCGGCTGAATGGGACACCGGTAGCGGTCCAAAGTTCTTCCATCCTCGCGGGTTCCCCTGAGCAGCAGAAGCTCTTTCTCTGGTGTCCCTCCCAGCAGCTCGGCCATCCCAGCCTGAGGACCTGCGACCCCGGGTCCTCCGCAGCACCTACCTGAGCGCCAGGAACCGCTCGCCCAGCAGCGCCAGTCCGATGCCCAGCAGACTCAGAGCCACCAATCGCCCCATGGCGCGGGACCTGCCCGCGGTCTGGTTCCGGCCTGGCCGGGCTGCCGGGGAAGCTGGGCCGGTTCCCCGCCCCGAGCGCAGGGCCGCGCCCGCTCCCCGCCCCGAGCGCTGGCTCTGCAGCCCAGGCTCCGCCCGGCGCCGCGACCTCGGAGCACAGCCGCACATGCTCACCCTGCAAGCCAACTGAATTGAACTGACTCCTTTCCAAACACCCCGCCAAACCCTGCCGCTGCTGCACCTGCTCAGCGCCCTGAGAAACTTTAGGGTGACCTTTGTGGAGTTTTCTGGGTTTAGTTAAGTTCTGTTGTTTTGGTTAGGCCTTTGGGGGGAATTCTCCCCCTCTTTTTTTTTTTTTTTATTTATTTTTGGTTTTGAGAAGCTAGGAATCAAACCCAGGACCATTTGTCCGAATTAGGCAAATACTGAGCCACATCTACAATCATAGAATAGTTTTTTTGTTGTTGTTGGATATGTGTGTGTATTTAAATACAAATGCATTTAACAGCAAATAATATAGAAAATGTCTTAAACATTATATATTAAAATTGTACTTTTCTTTTTGTTTTATTAAACATTGCATATTAAATATAATATATATATATACCTTTTTATTTTCGTTTGTTTTGAAGACAAAGTCTCATATAGTCCAGGCTGTCAGTGAGTTTCTGCTCCTCCTTGCCTCCATATGCCAAATGCTATGACCCTGCCTAGAATAATATGTTTTGGTTTGTTTTTTTTTTTTAATTTCATATACATGGATGTTTTACTTGCACGTGCGTATGTGTACCACATCCACACCTGGTGTCTACAGAGCTCAGAAAAGGATGTCCAGTACCCCAGAAAGTGTAGCCAGTGTTCTTAATACTCAGCCATCTCTCCAGCGATGACATTTCAAATATTCTTTTCCTGTTTTCTTTTTTTACTTAAAAGTTCTGGACTAACTTCACAAAGAGTTAAAGGTAGAATTACATCCTTCTATATTAAGATTTATGTTAGACTAAACTCCCACAAACTCAGAGTTCATTGAGCATTAGTAAACTTTCTCTTCTTTCTCCCCTTTTCATTTTAATGCTCATATTTATAGATACGTTTTTTATACTCATGAGGAAATAAAAAGGAAGCTCACTCACTGAGATCGGGACAGCTGCTGACTGTAAGTGCATCTGGAATCAGTTTCTCGCCCTTTCCAGCATTTAATCGCTACCCGCAATATGGATGCAGAAGTTAGAACCAGTGATTCTTAAGGAATATCATTCTTTGACCGTGTTTTATTACTGTAGCCTGGGCTGACTTTGAATCTGAAGCTTTCTTGCCTTACCCTCAGGAGGATTCTCAGCATGTGCTGCCACAACAGGCCAATCTTCTGGTTTGTAACCAACCATTAAGGAAAAGCAGATGCCAGTTTGTACCTGGGCCCTCACCAAAGGGAAAAGAGGAAGATCTCTCTGCTCCAGGCTTCTGTAGCCAGCCCTGAGGGAGCCTGTGCTGCATCCAATGGCTGATGGCGAGCTGAACAGTTGTCCTTCCTAAGCCGCAGAGGCTGCACACACTCTCTGCCACAGTTACCTTTGCAGAGTAATGCTTGCTAAAGCACACACTTAGGTGCTTGGGATTGCAAAAGAGACCAGCTGCACTGAATGTGATTACAGAAGTGTTTTAAAAATGAGTTTAAATGCCACAGGGATATAGTAATGCCACACTCCATCACATCCTGGCATGGGAGCCACTTTTTGCCCTTAGTAACACCCTTGTGTTAGGTGTGATCTTTAACACATCAAGTAGAAAGTTCTAGGAGCATTCTTTCAGATGAAGACAAAGGGCCAGGGTTGGTGACTGAGCGCAAGCTCACTCTCAGGCTGCGGCAGAGACTGGAGAATACTGGGTTTAAAACTAGTCTAGACTAGATAAAAAGATGTTTATAGAAAAAAAACTGAAATAAGGATAAACATGTTATTTGTAGATACTTTTAACAACTATAATGAGCTACGAAGCTTCTGCTTCCTTTGGTAACAAGGTTTCACTGGTGCTGTTTTACCTTCGTTAATGAAGAAAATGCAAATTTTCCTTTGAAATCAGGTGGTTTCCCCCTTCATCCAAAATTATCAAATTCTGAAATTCTTCCCGTTTTTCTTCCTTCCTTCCTTCCTTCGTTCCTTCCCTCCTTCCCTGTGTCTTTCTTCCCCTCACAAGCATCCTGACTCTAAAATATACTGCCAGATCCTTCTGAATCATTGATGTACCCATCAATGTAAGTGATGAAATCTGACATGAGACATATGGCTGACTGGATAGACAGGTATGGAGTTCTACCATCTGTGACATGAATCATCAGGAATGGAACCTCACAAACACGACCAGTATTTAGAAAGGTGTGGTGCTATTACCTAAGTCCTTGGCTTAAGTCTGAGAGTTCATTCAAAGATTCCTGGGTAGTACATAAAAATATGTCTCATATAATATGAGACATGAACTGGCAGAACATCTTCCTACATGTCCTTAAAATAAAGTCACAGATCATGAAGTTTACCCACTTCTGTGATATTCTTAATGTCTAGAGAGATACCAATAAGTAGATCCTTATAGATTCTCTCGGCAAGCCCAGATTTGCCTTCACTATGTTTCCGGACAACAGCTGGGAATCAGGAATCCACTGGCTGACTTTAGTCAGCATGGAACACTTTGATGGCTTGCCCTGGGAACAACATTCTGGCTGGAGCTCGGCACACATCTCAGAGTCTCTGAGAGAAACCATGTTTTACCTACTTAGTTTGAAAAACTTGTTTTAGCTATATGTGTTTGTGTAGACATGTATGTGTGCAGATATCCATGGAAGTCAGGGAGGGCATTTGATCCCCAAGAGTGGAGTTGCAAGTGGTTGGGAGGCACCCACTGTGTTTGCTGGGACCAAGCTCTGGGTCTCTAAAAAAGCAGCAAGTGCTCTTAAGCATTGTGTCGTTTCAGCCCGGCTCTGCTTTGATTCTGATCATTCTGTACTCCTCGTGGGGACAGTACTGTTCACCACACTCTCTTTCAGAATGCTGCAGGGTGAAGCAGTTTCTCTTGAAGAAGTTCCCATAAGTAAACATAACCATTAGGCATAACCACCAACATTTGTCATAAGCAATAGTTGTTGTTGTTTATGGTTTGGACATCAGAGACCCAGCTTCTGCACTGTAAGAGTGCTGATTAATTATTGAATTTTTGGAATAACTTAGCTATCCTTTCAGTTGTTGGGGATTATAAAACAATACCAAGAAAGTAGTCCCTGTTTCATGTGGTTTCTGACTACCAAATAACCAAGTTACTCAAAATAATCCAAACTTGTTTCAGGACTAGCCTGTGTGGACGAGTCCTGCTGCTCCATCTGCAACAGTGTTTCCCAGTGGCGTGGCTGCTTTGTAACTAGAAATGTGTTGGCCTTAAGCAAAATTTCAAAAAATAATAATACCCTTTTACCAATGCTTCTCAGCTTTTGTGTAGGAAAGGACAGGTTTTTTTTTTTTTTTTGCCTTTGTAAAACACAATGACTGGGAAAATGAAGTAAAATCTCAGACACCTAAAATATAAGCCCAAATCTTTCAGTTGATACAACAGATATAAATTATTTTATCTCATTTCCATAATAGTTCCTAAACATTAGCCCTCAATTTTTCATGCTTATCTCACTGTGAGCCAGAAACAACGGGTTCACAGACTAAAATGGTCCTGGTAGCACACTGCCTTTCCTGACCATACTTGCAAAGTTCTGTCCCATTGTGGCCTTTTGTGGTCTTTCGTAGAGTACTGTTATATGTACAGTTGACAGAGGTTTGTGGAGAGGGCCTCACGATTATGGTCATTTATGAAATGTGTGACAGGAAGTTTGTTACCCTATAACTTTCTTCTCCTTTTTCTTTTCTTGCCTATGTTTCAAAAAGGGAGACATATTTTTGTGTGTGTGTGTGTGTACATTGAAAATATATTATAAAGAGGTGCTTATTACAGAAAGAGAAACATTTGCCTTCTCAATACTTTAGTCCAGGGCTTCATAGAGGGTAAAAGATATCTCCCTGCAGCAAGGCTATTTTCCAGTACATTAGAAAGTAAAACCTAATGTGCTTGAAATTTAGGCTTTTCCCCCAGCACTAGAAAAAAATAAGAAAACAAGAAATGTTATAACTGAGACATAAAGATCATCACAAAATACATAAAAATGTTTTTAATCAACTCACGGTTACTGTCTAGGGGTCTAGATCAGGTTCATCTTCTCTCCTAGTTAAAGAGTTAAGAGGAAGGAAAACCTTTGAGCACAGCAGAAAGTCTCAAAGGCAGCAGTAGAGTCAGGTGGTGGAGCAGGGCTTTTATCCAGGGTAAGGAAACACACACAGACACAGCAAGGTACACAAGGAGAAGACCTCTCCTCTGCAAAGTAGAAGGGGGGGCTCACTCCAGAGCCAAATCTGCTCTTTCTATGAGGACGCGGAGACTTAAGAGTTTGGGACGTCTTTTTCTCTCTCCAATAAACACGGGGAACTTGGAAGACCCCCAATTTGGGGATAAACATGCTGTCATCTAGCCTTGAACTTGTCAGCATGGGCAGGGATCCTACAGGAGAGAAACCCACCAATCCTTTAGGCCTTCATCTCTGGTCATGAGTGCGTTGTAGGAGCTGTGGGCTGCATTCCAGCTGCCCAGCTCCCAGATGCCTGGCTAGTTTATGTTCCGAAATAACAACACACAAATGTATTCTTTTAAACACTGCTTGGCCCATTTCTAATAATGTGTGTAGCACCCTTAGGTGCACTTACCAGGAAGATTCTAGCCTACGTCCATCCTGGGTCCGAGTTTCCTCGCGTCTGCCCAGGAGAGGGGAGCATGGCGTCTGAGTTCACTTCCTCTTCCTCCCAGCATTCTGTTCTGTTTACTCCACCCACCTATGTTCTAACCTATCAGGGCCAAGCAGTTTTGTTATTAATTAGCCAATGACCTTCCTCTATCATTTCCCCTTTTTCTGTTTAAACAAAAAAGGAGGGTTTAACTTTAACATAGCAAAATTACATATAACAAAACAGTTATAAAGCAATATTTACAGTTACAATATTTATATCTATTTTATCTTTTATCAT